ATTATTATTATTAGTATTATTATTGACACTAAGTGGCCCAGGCTAGGTTCAAACTTGTGATCCTCCTGCCTCAGCCTCTCAGAGTGCTGGGATTGTAGCAAGCACCACCATGTCAGGTTGAAAGGTCTTAAATTACTATGTTTCTGGATAATTTATTACACAGAAATAGAAAACTACTTATATTCATCAGATATGGAATCTCAAGGTTTCTCTGGACTTTGCTTCTTCCAACGTGTTTGGTTTCCCCTGAAGCAGAGAAACGTAAATTTTGAGTACTTCTGCCATTAGGCAGAGCACACTCCCCAAGGCGGCCATAGGGAACAGGTACCCAACATTTACTGCCCAAGATCCCAGCATCCTCCTTACTCAGGCAGCTGAAAGACTGAACAGATAACAGTGAGCCACCCTCTCAGGTCTTCCTGAGTAACAACCAAGTGGACAGTCAGAAAAATAACCATGATAGCACATGCCTGTAATCTCAGCACTCAGGAGGCTGAGGCAGGAGGATTAACCTGAGTGTGAGCCGCCCGGACTGCACAGTCAGTCCAGGCCAGCCTGAACTGCACAGTGAGACCCTGTCTCAAACAAAACAAACAAAACCAAACCAGATGAACAGGATGAGCCATTACATAATTATATAACTCTGCCTCCCTCAAAGATGTGTATGTAGCCAGGTGTGATGTCACACAGCTGTAATCCCAGCACTTGGGAGGCTGAGGCAGGAGGATCGTTGTGAGCTCAAGGCCAGCCCAGGCTACAAAGTGAGCTCAAGGCCAGCCTGAATTGCATAGCGAGACCCTATCCCAAAAAGATAAAAAAAAAAATTTTTTTTGTTTTAAAAAAAGGAAATTACAACAAGCATAAAAGATAGACAAGCAACTTTCCTGGAAAGATCTATATGGGAAATGATACACACTTAGGCTAAACACTTAGCCTAAACACTTAGGCTCCTCTCAAGGAAATTAAAGCAAACATATCGTCTAGACAATACGAAATCTTAAAAGAGATGAAAAGAACAGCACCTGGAACAATTAGGGAAAATGAATTAAGAAGAAAGCTAATTAAGGAATACCAAAAATGAAATGGTGTTGATGGCAGTTCTGAGAAAGACTATTTAGAACAGATGCTAAAGGGCATAAAAGGGGGAGAGATCTTGAATGTTCTAATAAATACAGGAAAACATTGCCAAGCCAAGGAGCAGAACATGTAGGTCACACAAATCTCTATGCATCAGACAAAATTAATTAAAAACTGCAAAGATCAACATAACCACCTGAAGTTACCAATTTGCAAGATTAAACAAAGAAACTTACAGCATGTGTGTACTAAAATAAACTGATTGTGTGCAAGACAGAAAGACGAAGTCAAGTTGGTTCATCTCTACAGCAGGTCACAAGATCTCAGCTATTGTCACCTACTACATATATGGTACTTAGCACAGTAGTGATCTAGTTTGAATCTAGGGCCTCACCTATGCTAGCCAAGTGTGCTATGAGATACAAAGTTGCCCAGACTGGCCTCAAACCTGTGATCTTCCTGCTTCAGCCTCCTGAGTACCTGGAATTAGAAGTGTGTGCTATCATGCCTGGGTTATATATCGTACTTCCTTTGGGCTTAGCAAGCATCTCTGTTGCTCATGGTTCCTTGTCTTAGGGAATGACTCAAATCTCTTGTAAAGGTCTGGACCATCAGAAGTCTACACTGAGACTGGGTGTGGCGGTGCACGCCTGTAATCCCAGCACTTGGGAGGCTGAGGCAGGAGGATCACTGTGAGTTCAAGGCCAGCCTGGAACTACAAAGTGAGTTCAGCCTGAACTGCATAGTGAAACCCTGTCTCAAAAAGATCAAAAAAGAAGAAGTTTACTAAACTGGAGCGTTACAGTCTTCCACTGACCTTACACAGAGGATCTGAGAGCGTGAAGGGTCGGTCCAAAGAGTTTCCTGCATTCTTCCTCATTAAAGCCACCATTAAACTGCAGCTCAGTCTCTCAGGACGTCAATCACCTGAGCCAGTGATCCGCCTGTTGGTGCAGTGCCCAAGGAGGACGGATGGCAGCTTCAAGTTCCAATTCGACAGAATTTTACTGTGTTCCGTGGTGAGAACAGTTCTCTTTGTAACTGTCTTAGTTAGCATCTCGTCACTGAAACAAAAGATCAGACATCCCCAAGTTAAAGGAGGAGAGGGTTATTCTGGCGCACAGTTTGTAGCCGCTTTAGTCCCTGGGCAGCTGGTTTCCAAGGCAGGACGGCATGGCAGAGGGCACGGCAGAGAGGCAGTGCGTGGCAGGGCAGCAGGAAGCAAGAGTGACATCAAAGCTCTGCCCATCAGTGCACTAACCCAGTGCCACGCCGCCACGATGTCAGCTCCCAAAAGCCCCGCCTACGAGCACATGTGGCCTTGGGGGACACCTAGACATAAGCCATAACAGTAACCAAGACCTCTAGACCAAAACAACGTAAAATGCAGGAACAGGAAGCAAAAAGCTTATTACTGGAAACCCTGGGTAAAGCCAGCAGTGGGAGGAGTCACTTTCACTGTGACCCTTTGACTCCTGACTCACGAATCTTGAATATGGCGGGAACATGGAGACTTAGTGCACACGTCATGTGCTGCGGAGCACGCCCCCGTCCTAGAAGGTGCCTCCCCCAGCTGGTGTTGTAAGCGAATTTCCAAAAAGCCATCTGGCCCTCTGTTAAGGCAGCTGCTTCAACAGGCTAAGCAAGGAGCTCGGTGAAACCTGTGAATTCCACATGCATAAGCCCACTGCATTGCCTTTGCCAGGAATGCCATGAGCATGGGTTTGGCACCATAGGTCCGCGATGGTAGTTTTGGCAGAAACATCGTGGGCAGGGAAGGTAAATTTATGTCCAGAGCGAGCGCCAGTTCCAGGAAGAACAAAGCATTCCCTCTTCCATGAGGAAGCGATCCGGCGTAACCAACCTAACCTCAGTGGCTGGCTGACCCGGGAAATGTGATGGATGAGGCACCCTGTGTTGGTTCTGCGGCTAGATTAGGTCCCCGCAGCAGCATCGCCAGGAGAGCCTGGGTGGGTGGAAGTCATGATGCGGGGCCCATCACAGCCTCCATCTCTGTCACCACGGGCACTTTGCTCCTAGCCATCAGAAGGCTGGAGCAGGAGCCTGCCCCAGGCCCACCCACCTGGTTACTACAGTCTTTCTTCACACTCTGGTGAGCCCTCACATGAAACACAAATATTTTCATGTTCTGCCATCCAGAGAGGTCTAGCTTCATACCTCTTCCTCAGATCCACTTGTCATTAAATTTATAGGCATGTTTCTTCTAAGTCCTAGATTACCAGAACCTGGTAGACTTTTGTTCCCGACATGGGAATGAAATGGAGGGCGGCATGCATGCTAAGCACATAGTCAGCCACTGAGCTACATGTCCCCAGTCCACTCTATTATTTTCTTTAAGAGTAGGAAAATTTATTGGGAGAATAGCGATGGGGAATGGGGAACAGAAAAGCTCCTAAAAGCCAGGAGGGGTGCCAGATGGGTTGCCCCAATCTATTACTTGTGTATACAACAGACCCTGTGAGGCTGGGAATACCATGGGTTATAATTCAATGCTGTTTGGTGGTTTACCAAAAGGACTTAAAAAACTCAAAAGCAGCTTATGCTCACAGCTAATTTTTCATTCTTTTTTTTAATAGCAAAGGAAACACAGCAAAAGCAGCAGGAAGGAAGCTATGCACTGGCAGAGTCCAGGAAGATCTGGCACAGGCCTCTCATGTCCTCCCACTCCAAGGGCGTGCTGGAGCGCTGTCCACTAGCAGTGACCGCAGGGACGGATGTGTGCATTCTCGCAGACCCTACAGTCCACCCCTTGCCAACCTGACACCTGTGCTGTGCGTTAAGCCATACATAATCTCCAGAGACAGTAGCCAAGTCAAGCCTCTGCTTAACATGATACAACATGGAAGCCTGGTGTAGGCTCAGGGTCCTGAAGGGCCGGTCATGCAGGAATGACCTGCTGGTAAGTCTGTCCTCATATTCTGCAGGAATAGACTTTGGGTTTGGTTTTCTAAACAATCCTACCATTACAGGAAGTGGTGTTTCTTCCAGGACAGGTTTGGAAGCCACAAGGTCCCTTCTGCAGATTTGAGCTGTGAATTAAAAATTAAAAGTCTTGCTGGCCTCGGTGACGCACACCTGTAATCCCAGCACTTGGGAGGCTGAGGCAGGATTGCCATGACTTTGAGGTCAAACTGGGCTACACAGTGAGTTTAAGGCCAGCCCAAACTACATAGCAAGACCCTGTCTCAAAAAAACAAAAAGAAAAAACAAATTAAGTCCTAAATTCATCATTTTAATTTTACTTTAGTTTTGTTGTTGTTCTGGGAATCGAACTCAGGACTTTATGCTGGCCAGGCAGGCACTTGTGCCACTAACCTATATCCCCAGCCCATCATTTTAATTTTAAAGAAATGTGGTAATCCTTCAATTAAATAATCATTCTTTTATAAATTCACTGTAAAGAAGTAGTAAGAATGTGCATAAAACCCTAAGTATCAGCATGAATCACCACAGTGCATTTACAATAGTGACTAACTAGAAATTCCTTGTAGGAACCCACTGGGAATTTGGTAAACAGAAAAACTACAAATGAAATAAATGTGCAGGAGCCGTTAGCAATGTCACAGATGAGCATTTATTGACGGGTGTTTAGGACATACTGATACGCGAACAAAGCTGACAGTAAAATACAGGAATGATTCAATTTTATAAAAAAATACGTATGTATAACAAAAAAAGATCTGCAGGGACAGACACGGGATTAGTAACTGCGCTTCTCCCTGGGGAGCATACGGGTTTTGATGTTGTTCTTTGATTAACTCCCGTTTTTAGTAAATCACATCATTTGGTTTCATAATAAAAACAAGTCAATCTATCACACTGCTTCCTTTTGATTAAAAACAATTCTTTTCTTTTTTTGAGACAAGGTCTCACTATACAGTCCAGGCTGGCCTTGAGGTCACTTTGTAGCCCAGATTGGTCTCAAACTTACAACGATCCTCCTGTCTCAGCTTCCTGAGTGCTGGGATTACGCCATCACACTCAGCTCAAAAACAATCCATTTTTTAAAACGTAGTTTTGGTTTTTGTTTTCTAAGCCGGTTGGGAGGCTGAGGGCTGAGGCAGGAGGTGTCAGAAGCCAGCTTGGGCTACACAGTGAGTTTAAGACCAGCTTGTACTACACAGCAAGATCATGCCTCAAAAAAGTAGGAAGAAAAAGCAGAAATAACTTCCAAGGTGCTGCAGAGGGCATGGTGGTACCCTCTGTGGGAGCTGGAGAGCCTTCGCAGTCACAGACCGTGCTGGATTTGGGGGCTGCAGGTGGTCCCCACAGCTCTAGGTCCGTGGTTCGCTCCTGTGTCCCCAGGGCCAACCCTGCTCATCAAAGTCCAGGGCGGCCTACTCCTGCTGAGTCACCAGCCTCATCATCTTCAGAGCCATCTCTCCTCGGTCAGAGGGAACCTGGAAGCAAGCGGCATATGAGTTAGTGCGCCTAGTGCCACCCCTGGGCGGGGGTCAGGGTGACGTCCTGATGCCCTGCTCCTAGAAAGGAGCCAGCTCTGTGACAGGCACTGTGAAGGCAGCTGCTCTCCAGAGTGCCCTTTAAGGAGGGGGCCCTGTGGGAAACCTGGGCCCCCACTGTGCTGGGTGACAGAGGGCTGGAGAAACCGGCTGTTAGAAGAGAACCTCTGCTTCATTGGGAGCTCATCTGTTGACGTCTTTTCGTTTTCCTGTAAAGCTAGGGCCTCACACGAGCTAGGCAAGCGCTCTACCACTGAGCTCCTTCGCCCTGCAGCCCCTGCTGGTTTCCTTAGAGAGGCTCTGCCCAGGGTACCAGGACCTCACCTGCTGAAGGAAGAAGGAAAATCCTCGACAGGTGAAAGGAGTCTCTGTGTAGGGGGATCCCAGGTGGGGAACGAAGTGCAGGACAGGCCAAGAGGGAGGCAAACGGGAGAGTCGTACAGATGCAAACACGGCTCTTGGTCTGGACAGCACCAAAATGTTTGCGCTGTCTCTCTTGTTTCCCTTACACTTTTTTATTTTGGTTTTTGGGTTTTGTCCGGTACCGGGAATCGAACTCACGACCTTGCACTTGCCAAGCAGGCGCTGTGCTGCTGAGCTAAATCCCCAGCCCCAACCCTTACGCTTTTAAGATTAAATCCTTTAAAGAATCTGTTTGCTGCTCTAGGGTTGTGCTCAGTGGAAACATTCCTGTCTACCACGCACAAAGCCTAGGTTTGAGCCCTGGCATTATGTGAAATAAAACTGAAAACCACCTCCCCACACACCACCCCAAGAGGGAGGGCAGAGGGCTTGTTTTCTCTTCTACAAAGACAGGAGGCACGAGATGGTCTCCCGGGTCTGAAATCCCCAGCTCCACGACTCTCCGGGCACACCTCTGTCCTGGAATCTCCTGCCAAGCAGGAGTCTCCAGGAGGTGGCACAGCGGGACATTCTAAAATGACATTTAATCAACGAAAGGAGAAGTAGAAGGGGATGACTTAGTGACAGTCTCTGAGGGCTATATTAAGCCTGTCCCCAGCTGGTCTCTTCTGTGTGTGACAAAGCAAGAGGAAATGGATCTGTGCGCCAGCACCAGAGCACGAAGGTGCTCACAGGGACCGTCTCTGGTTCTCAGACTCCCTGCTGGCTCTTGCCCGGACAATAATAAAGGTCCCCAGATCCCCAGAGCTATAAATAACATCCCCTCCCCCTGTGCCCTGTTGCCTCCTCTGTCCTGTCTTCAAAGGGTGGGCTACTCTCTTCTTCTTAAAGGAAGCTGTCATCTCCTCCCACTCACCGTCCATTCACGGTCCCGGCTTTCCACCCCGCCTGCCAAGCCTGCAGTTCCACCAAGCGCACCCACCTGAGGGAGAACCAGGGGCCCATGGCACGGTTGCAGCTTGCGATCCTGTCTGGGTCTGTAGCAGCCCCTGACAAGACCAGTCACTGCCTGCTCTGGAGACGCCAGGAAACCATCATTTCTTTGTACACCAAACAACTGCCAATTCTTCCCCTGCCTTTCTTTCTTTTCTTTTTTTAGGGCTGGGCATTGAACCCAGGACCTCAGCCATGTTAGGCACTGAGCTACACATCCCTAGCCCTTTCTAAAAATTTATTTATTTATTTAATTTTTGCCTTTTTGAGACAGGGTCTCGCTATGCAGTTCAGGCTGACCTTGAGCTCACCTTGTAGCCCAAGTTGGCCTCAAACTCACAATGATCCCCCTGCCTCAGCCTCCCGAATGCTGGGATTACACTTGTGTGCCACCACGCCCGGCATCCTTTCCCTTTTTAAAATGTTATCTTGGGGCGAGGAGTGCCCACCGGCAGCTCGCTCCCTGCCTCATAGGCCCCCGGAGGGAGGGGCCCTGGTGCACAGGGAGCCATGTGGCCGAGAGCGCTGTGGTGGCCGGCCGCTGCTGCTCAATTGAGAACTATCATGACACAGAGAAACAATGACACAATTGGCCCACCATGCACCGGCTGCAGATGCCCACCCACGGATGTGTGT